GAAAAATATAAAAAAAAGCCTATTTTCTACCTATTTATCATATTTTTGTTGTGCCAGGACACCGGAAACAATGTATTTTTTGTCTTTTTGCTTATTTTTTTTAGGATTTAGTATATTCTTAAGAAGTATACAATGAGTACTCATTTATTCATTACTTTATTACAGGGGCAGTGAAATAATTTTTATGAAGATTTGCTATACTTGATAAGAATTAAAGATAAGACGGAGTCAGAAATAGTGACAAAAGAAAGTGTAGCAGAAAACAAAAGGAACACTCTTGTGAATAAAAACCATGTAAGAATACAAAACTAGGAAAATAAGCGTATGAAGTGAATTACATATACAGTAATAAATTATCATCAATAAATTTTTTATTCTAGATCTGATTTAGCAACGTGTAGATACATAAAATTAAACTTTTAACACTTTGCTGGTTGTCTAGTTAAAATAAATTATATATATTCATACCTTTGTGTTCATTATTTAAGAAAAATAGGTAACATGGATGTGTTGATTGAATTCATTCAAATATGGGTAAAATTCTAAAGTACAATTCCTGGAGAGAAAGATTGATTGATTGTTGGTTGCTTAAACGTCCAGTGGCAAATATGTCATGCATGTTCAGGAAAATTGATAGAAAGTGGAAAAATGATAAATTGTCAGGATAGTATGTAAGAAACAAAATGGTTTAACAACAGTGGATCCTTAAAATGCAACAATTGTAACATTTAATAAAACTAATACTTTCGCAATTTTGAACTGATGTAAAAACCAGGAATTATTTCAGCTGTTGCTTGGATGGGATTTTAGCATCCTTCATATGGATCAAAAAGTTTACAAACTGAACCAACGGAGTGCCAGCGTTTGTTAAAAGTTTGTAGTACTACGTTGACCCAACATTTGTTCAACATCGGCCATATTATTCCATCATTGGGCCAACGTTTGACCTTTGTATTGTATAAAACCTTATTAAGTTGTGCCAACGTTTAGCCATCACGTTGGGCCAACATAAGGCTACTTTGCACTTATACATTGGGCCAACGTCTAAAAACAACGTTGGGCCAATGAATGTAAATATGTTGGGCTATTGTTGTGCCAGTGTACAAATGTTGTCTGGGACTAGGTTAAATTTTGGTTCCTGATTGGTAACACAAGGTTCTATTTAGGTTCCACATTGGTTACACAAGGTTCTATAAAGGTTCTAGATTGGTTACACAAGGTTCTATTAAGGTTCAAGATTGGTTACACAAGGTTCTATTAAGGTTCCAGATTGGTCACACAAGGTTCTATCAAGGTTCCAGATTGGTTACACAAGGTTCTATTAAGGTTTCAGATTGGTTTTTCATAACGTTATATCATAACGTTCTTATAACGTAACTGGTAGTCCACACTTTAATGTTCCTACAACGTTATTTCACAACGAAAGAGAAACGTTCCAGGAACATTTCCTGAACGTTTTTGTGTTTTGTGGGGTAGTCAATCTTTCCAAATTCCAGTTAACGGAAGCTGAAAACATCTCTTCTCTCGAGAGGCTTAAATTTCTGTCCTCTACCTGAAACCAAATTGTCGGAAGACCATGCCAATTTTGCCAGAAGTCTACGCATTAGGGAATATTTCGCGTCGAAGGAAAATAACAACAGAAGCTCGGAAAGTGACTCAGAAATTTCAGAAGACGAGAACAACTACAAATCTATAAAAAAAAAAGGTACTTGGATCCCTAAACCGAGCAAAAATACCACCTTGTAATCATTTATAGACAATTTTTAAGTCGGACATTATTAGAAATACTTGACAAAGCAGTAAACCTTTTGATAACCTTGCCATTGAAGAACGAATTGCACTGAAAAACTTACAATCTAACAACAAAAATATTTTGTTTTCTGTTTGGAATTAAATTAATATTTAGATCCATTTCGTTAGATCTGGTGATCAATTTATTTGGCAATCGTCAATGGCAGTCAGCAGGGTTTAAGAACATCAGTTGTTCGACCTGTTAGTCAAATGCGTTTTGTTAAAATAGAATTTTTCACTTTTTTTGGTCTTTTGGAAATTGTTGTTTGTGCTGTATTTAGACCCCTCTACCAAGAAATTTGTTTTACATGCACACGTATAAAAATTGCGGTTTTTATCCAACGCAATCATAGGTTTGAACGTTGTTTTCAATTTAGACTTGTTTATATTTTTTTCGTTTGGGCTTGTATTATATTTTCCTTCGGGTTTATATGATCCGTTCATCCTATTTCGACTCTTTAAAATTTAAGAGTCTATCCTAAATTCATGTAAATTATATGGACTTCCAAATACCGTTTCGATCCCTAACATCACTGAACAGACATTAATTGTCGAAATCCGGATATGGTGTACAAATTTTTGCACCTCATGTTTGTGGTATACCATCTTTTCCACAAGTTTATTGTTTTCTGTTTTGTATCAAATTAATATTAAGATCCATTTCGTTAGATCTGGTGATCAATTTATTTGGCAATCGTCAATGGCAGTCAGCAGGGTTTAAGAACATCAGTTGTTCGACCTGTTAGTCAAATGCGTTTTGTTAAAATAGACTTTTTCACTTTTTTTGGTCTTTTGGAAATTGTTGTTTGTGCTGTATTTAGACCCCTCTACCAAGAAATTTGTTTTACATGCACACGTATAAAATACAAGTCTAAATTGAAAACAACGTTCAAACCTGTGATTGCGTTGGATAAAAACCGCAATTTTATACGTGTGCATGCAAAACAAATTTCTTGATTTCTTCATAAAGGGGTCTAAATACAGCACAAACAACATTTTCCAAAAGACAAAAAAAGTGATAAAGTGTATTTTAACAAAACGCATTTGACTAACAGGTCGAACAACTGGTGTTCTTAAACCAGTGGTATGAAAGTGTAGTATGAAATGATTGTAAGGTGTACATGTCCTACTGGGAGGGCTATCTGACATTGACCTTTCTTCAAGGTTCATTGGACAATGTTAAGTTTTTGTGGTTTGATTAATTTCTCAAATACAATTAGCCATGAGGCCAATATGTTTTGGCATGATATGATTGTAAGATGAACATGTCTGTCTGGATGATTTCATATGACTGTGACCTCATTTTCAAGGTTCATTGGTCAATATTAAGTTTGCATATATAGTTATGTAGTTATGTCTGTTTCTAAGATATTATAATTGAATGGCTAACTTTATTTGATGTTTGGTATGATTGAAAAATGTACAGTAGTCTAGGTCAGGGTTCATAATATAAATTCATCTGACCTTTACCCCATTTACAGTGATCTAAGTTTAAGTGATACTTGTAGTAAAACCCTCATATTTCAATTTTCCACATAATTGAATTATGATAAGTAAAGCAAGCAAGACATTTCAGCATATGCACTCTTGTTATAAAATAAATATCAAGATTTATGTACATGTTGTAAGCAATGTATCTGACAATTTGAAAATCAGTGAACAATTATTTTAATTGGAGTTATGCCACTTGGAAATAATAATTTATTGAAAATTGCATTGTAAGCTCTCACCAGCCTGCAAGTCTCTCTGGATTTTTATGAAATTAATAGTGATTGTTCATATCAGTAATATTTTATTTAGACGAGTTTAAAATCAGTGCCAATCAATGATTTATACAGGAATTATATTTATTGCTGTTATATGAAGTTCAATTTCATTCTTTGAAATTTAATAATAAATATATGTGAAAAGAATTTGTTGTAAAAGTTTTGAATTTCATGATTCAAATAAGGTGGCTGATCATCTATACTTCTATGTATTAATTATACCCCACGCAATTCATTGCGTCTGGTATAATGTGTTTGACCCGTCCGTCTGTCTGTCCGTCCGTCGGTCCTGTTCTTGTCATCTTAATTCCTCTGAAACCACACAACAGAAATTCATGAAACTTTGTAGATAATAAGGACATACTATGTAGATGTGCATATCGACAGGAAATTATGCCCCTTTGCACTTATTGGCCTCAATATACTACTGCAACAGTTTGTAATCGGTACTCCTCTGAAACCACACAACAGAATTTCATGAAACTTTGTATTTAATGAGGACATAGTATGTTAATGTGCATATCCACAAGAAAATTTTTATCAGTTGACTTTTGTAGAGTTATGAGTCTTTGAACTTAGGAATCTGATGAGATTTTGTTTGTCCAGTGACAATGTGGGGGCGTGGGGTATGTGAGCGTGCTCTCAAAGGTTCTTTAATTTATAATGTCTCCGTTTCAATAAGGCGAAATGTAATTTTTTATAGTATTTCTTCTTCTGCTTCTGGTTTGTCTTCTTTTGCTTTTCAAACAGTCTTGTCCAGGACAAAACCTTTTCATCATTTGACTAAAATTTATGATATTTTGGCATTAAGGTGTGTATTAATATACCACAATTGTTGGCATAACACCATGACCTCTATGTAACCCTGACCTTTGACATTAAGGTCAAAATAATTGATTTTTGGGACAGTTATTGTTATGGTTAGGCACCAAAAGAAACATCAATTAAGATAAATTAAACACCTATTAACCAAACATAATTTACAAATTAAAAAATACAACTGGAGGAATATAGTCCCTTTACTTTTCATGCAGCTAGCAAGACAAATATTTCCAGCACTATTCATCAGGCTAACCGGACAAATAGCTTCAGCAATATTCTTGTGGCTATAGTCGGACAAATAGCCCCAGCACTATTCTTCTGGCTAGCCGTACAAATAGCCCCACCACTATTCTTCCGGCTAGCCGGACAACTTAGCCCCAGTATATAATATATATAAAATGTTTTTTATTATGTCGTAAATCGTTTATAAAGTTGTTATATAAAATAACGTAAAATAATAAAAAAAGTAGAAAAAACTATTACTAGCTAATAGTTAACTTATATAGATAATAGAAGGCCGAGCTTGTTATAGTCCGACTTTGATATAGGCCGAGTTTGTTTTAGGCCGAGTTATCCAAGTCAGCTGGTTCTCGGCTGTCTACCATTATTGAGCGAAGCGCTAAATGCAATCGAGTTCCAGTTTACCAGTAGCGTGGCTAACAACCAAACATCTTGCTAGATAATTTTACCAAACAGGTAGTAAGATTTTAATCCTAATCCTTACCCGAGCTTGGCAGATTTCCCACACATTTTAATGTTGTCAATGCAATGCTTAGATATTGGCAAAAGAATCTATTATATATATATCGATGCAAATTTTCATATCCATATTATGGGTAGGATTGCCCGTCAGGCGTCAAACGGTCATTATGCAGACAAAGCTGTGTAATTCTAATAGTTTTAAATCCTGGCAGCACCTAGATATATACAAGTTGTATACATTTTGTGTTTTAAAAAGAAAAAAACTTTTGTGGATTTTGCTAAACATTTTCTTTCCTTGCCACAGGTGGTGTAAAAATGAACAAAGTCGTGAAATCTTTGAGATGGTTCCCCTCAGGTAATGATTGTATTGTATCATTGATTGATATGGACAATAGAAATCTACTCACAACAAAGGTGATTTAAAAAGTGTAAATGAGTGGACTGTATCAAAGAAACTCAGGTGTTTGTTTATTTCACCATCTTCTGTGGCAAGGAAAGAAAATGTTCATCAAAATCCATAAAGTGTTTTAACTTTTTAGAACATAAATTGGATGTAACAATAATTTATCTAGGTGCTGCCAGGCATTAAAACTTTTAAAATTACTCAGTTTTGTCTGTACTCAGAGAAAATTTCATGGTGTAAACACAGCCATTTTTGTTGAAGTGTATAGATGAACCTTAATATATAGCGTCAAATTGGTTAAAATTTTACAGTCATTCGTTAAAATATCCTTATTGTGATTCGTCAGAGGTCTCAAATAATTATCGTTACCGTTATTTTTGGGAAAAGATTTAACGTGATCAGGGGTGTGGAAATATTTGTTTTGACCACTGTGAAGTTGTCCCCAGGCAAGTGAATTTGTAAATTTTACTTGTCTGGAAGAAAAGTTACTTGCCCTGATTTCTTTATGAATTTTGGAATGAAGATGTATTTTTCTGTAAATGTGTTTGTTCCTAAAACACTTTGAAACACAATGAAAATGGTAGTCATGGTCTTTGTATGTTAGAATGATCGAAATATAAGTAGAGAATACACCAATGAGATAGATAAGAAACCAACCATAAAAAACAACTTTAAACTATTTTTAAGAATCTAGAGGCCAATTTTGCAAATTATTTTTCAATGCTAGCTTATATAATTACATGAACCTGGGAGATCATATCATGACTTATATTTTTTCTTCACTGTGAGCCTGCACTGTGAAGTTAAAAGTTACTGAAGATCGAGATGAAACCCAAATAATTAATAAATTATTGAATTGTTGTTTCCACACACCCCCCCCCCCTTTTTTCCCCCAAAAACACTTTTGGTAGGCCAATTGTAAATTTGAGAGTATTTTAGATAACTAAGCGAAATCAAAACATTATAGAACTTTAAAATCCTCTATTTCTTTTATTTTCATGCTATTTGTCCTAGCTTTGCCACTTCTGATTTCCGTTTCTTGTCAAAACCAAGTTCTTCGATCAACCAAGTTTTGTTTTTTTAGGAGGTGCCTCTTTTTCGTTGGTTAACTTCCGAGCGATGACCTATTTAAAGATTCTTATCCAACTAGACTGGTCATTTATTTTCATTCTTGAGAATCAGAGCTCGATATTAATAATGACAATTTCCAGTGTATCGTTGCTATGATAACCTGATCTACAATCCCGAATCAATGGGAAGAAAATGCAGAATCTTGATGAAACCCGGGTTCGCACACTTATTTTTTGTTGTTTGATAATCGATTTATTTCTTGATCATTGATTTACTTAAACATGTTGCTTTCGTCTTATTATTTGATATTTTTCTACTTTGATAGATAAATTTTGAGGACTTTTCTATATGATTATAAAAATTTACATTGTCAAGCAACATTTTTTTTACTTGTCCAAGGGCAACAAAGACAGAAAAAATTGCTTGTCTGATCTGTCAAATGTGCGAGTTGGGCATAGCATTTCAACACCCCTGTTGATTCATCAGTCAATTTTTTATCGTCTAGAATAGAATAGAAAATTTTATTTTAAGTCGGGTTACATCATAGAAACATTACAAACATAAGCTCTGTTGAGCTTTTTGCCGACATTAATAGCAATAACAACACACTCAATATTAAGACATATACAACATATGCAATAGACATACAAAGTAAGACAGCTATATTGCATAAGCAAAAATTTGCATATATATAAAAGCAAGCACAAACAAGTAAAGCACTAAACTAGATTATAAGCACATAAAGCAGACAAAATAAATAAAGCAAATCTAGTTCTAAAAGTTGCATGGAAAACATAAAAAATCAAAAGCTTTTTAAAAGATCTGCAGGAGCCACATCTGCATGAGTTGCCATTCCAGTTGTTGATCATACTTTTAAACTGGTTCAGGTTCGACTGTGCACGTTCGTGTCAGGCAGCTCATTCCAGAGTGTAGCTCCAGCATACCTTAATGAATGAAGTCCAAACTGTGTTGTTCTCACCAGTGGTACGTACTTCAACAGTCTACGGTTGCTTTCTAAAAGAGTAAGGTACATTTTTAAAATTAATAATTAATATTATGGAAAAAAATTGTGACTCTTTGTGTAATATTTTAAAAACTTCTATTGCCATCATTCGTAGCCGTCTTTTTTTAAAAGAAGGTAAACCAGATTTTAACAGAGTTTCATACTCACTATTAACATCTTCCTAGATGAACCTCAAGGCACGTTCTTGTATTTTTTTTCCATTTTTTAAGTGTTACCCTCAACACAAAAATGCCAAACCACAGGACAATAGTTGAAATTAGACATAATATATGAATGATAAATAGTTAACCTTCCCAATTTAGATAGATGTTTCCCAATTCTTTTTAGTACATTTAACTGCCTTGATGCTTTTTTACAAATTTCAGAAATATGTGTTTTAAACTTGAGTTGATAATCTATTGTCACTCCCAGGAGCTTTACCTCAGTGTCACATAAAATTTCATTCCCCATCCAAATTGAATTTATTATCCCCACTTTTAGATTTATTGCCAATGGCAATAGCCTGAAATTTATCCCGATTAGCTTTCATTTTGTTGTAATTAAGCAAACCAATCTATTAAAACTGCACTTTCCTTTTCCAAAGATTTAACTAATCCGTTTATATCTGGTCCTGAGTGTGACAATGTATTGTCATCTGCATAGTTGTACAACTCATTTTCTTTTACAAAATTGTCGATAAGTTTTAGTGCCTCATTTGACAGCCCATATGCCTTCAACTTTAATAACAGTAAGTTATGGGGTAGGCAATCAAAGGCCTTCGAAAGGTCCATGAGCTGCAACATATAAATTTTGGTCGACTGCTTTCTTCCAGTCCTCAATGACTTTTAGAAGTGCTGTATTACAGCCATAGCCAGGTCTAAAAGCTGACAAAGAAGGATGAAATATCTTGTTAAAATATTCTATTAGCTGCTAACAGGTCTGTAGTTTCCTGCCTCTAAGGGGACGACCATTTGATATTCTGGGGGGGGGGGGGGGGGGGGGGGGCCAGGAGGATTTTGAAAATAAATAACTCAGCCTTGATAATAACAAAAATGAATGGTTTGTTCTGTGGTAGTTTGAAAATAAATTACCTGACCTACAATGTATTGAAAATAAATAACTCGGAAGGTTAAGCCATTTTATAAATGCTATACTAAAGTATGAAATGGCACCAGATTCTTCCAAAATTCGTCTTTTTTCATATTTTTTTCGGGAAAAACTTCCCAAATCTTTTATAATACAATGTATAAATATTTATGTACTTGAAATGTCTGAAAATGGGTTTCAATTAACTAGAGGTATATTAACTCAGGAACATTTACCTCACTTTCATAAGAGGGCTGTAACTAAATTGAGGCAAATGCCTCAGGTAGGAAATTTCAAAAACAAAAGCTTGTCTTCATATTAATTATTTTTTACCTCGAATGCCTTGCAAGAAGCAAATTCTGTTCACCCTCTGACATAGCCCCTGTTTTTCAAGATCCCTGTTTCTCATTTAATTATAGTTTTCAGTGTTATTTGTCTATAATGTTTGTCGTTTTGTGTTTTATCTGTTCCAGGGTTTGTCTTTTGTTCATTGATTGCCCTTCTTTATTCTCTTAGTGTTGCATTCCATTTGTAATTTAGTAATTTTTTTTAAACTTGAGTTTATATTATTTTATTTAAGGACTTTTTATCTAATTTTACAAACTACATGAATTTCAAATTGTATCTCAGTTAGGAACTACATCAAGTTGTAATTGAAATGTGTTATAGAAACTTACTTGACATAGTTATATCAATGATAATCAGCCCCTCTTAACTTAATTTGAGAAAAAAAAACACATAATTGACAGGTATATTAAAAAGATTTTCTGCAAGCCAAAACACTATAAAAAAAAAGCAGCCACATACTTAAGTTTGTGAATTACACTTTTTGCTTTATCCTACATATTGGTCTTTTGATGTTGTCCCTAAAAACTAAAAGTCTTACACTGCATCTATATATTTTTGCTTTGAGACCAAAATATTGTCGAAAAAATAATTAACAGAACTTGCGTTTCAGATTAAGAAAGGATCTGGGAAACGCGCAGAATGTATGATTTTGCATCATTTTTCTATATCTTCTAGGGGCCTTCAGCGGCCCCAAAACCTTAGCTGAATTTAGGCAAATATGTTTGACATTACTTTTAAAAGAGGCTTAGTTACAGCCCCACTTTAATACCATGTACGTATGCAATAAATGCAGTTAAGGAATTCAGAAGATTCACTTCCACAGGATGATGATTCTGATTAAATGGTACATAATGATTTGACTATACATTTATTATCTATTTAGGAATATAAAAAAAAATTAAAATTTGTGTGTTTTCAAATATTATAAATATAATTGTGAAAATAAATAACCAGTCCCTTGTTTTAATGAAAATGAAAAATCATGCTTCAACAGTGCAGAAAATAGATAATCTCTTCTTCTAGATCACAAAAAAAAAATAACCAATCCAAAACAAATCCTCTTGGCCCCCACCAGAATATCAA